GGGATACACGCACCCCTGTGTTTATAGCAGCATTACTTACCAAATTATGGAAGCAACCCAAGTGTCCATAGATGAGTGAATAAAGAAGATGTGGTCTATATATGTAGACAATGGAGTAGTATTCAGCCATAAACATATAACGAAATCTTGCTATTTGCAACAATGTGGATGGACTTCAAGGGTATTATGCTAAGTGAAATAAGTCAGGCAGAGGAAGTCAAACACCATCTCACTTATATGTGGAATCTGAGAAAACCAAACTCATAGATCCAGAGCACAGGTAGATGATGGCCAGAGGGGAGGTGAGGGTTGGCGAAATGGGGGAAGGGGGCCAAAAGGTATAGACTTCCAGTTATAACCTAAGTCAGTCCTGGGGGTGTCATGTACAGCATGGTGACTAGTCGGTATCACTGTATTATAGATTTGGATGTGATTAAGGGAGTAGATCCTAAAGAAAAAAAATTATCTCAGAAGTATGTTTCCCTAAGCAATCTATTGTATAGCTTGCTTGCTTCTCAGGGTTTTTTTTTAAAGATCTTGTTTATTTATTTGAGAGAGAGACAGAGATAGTGAGAGAGAGAGCACTAGCAGGGAGGGGAGGGAGAAGCAGGCTTCCCGCTGAGCAGGGAGCCCGATGCGGGGCTCGATCCCAGGACCCCGGGATCATGACCTAAGCCAAAGGCAGCCACTTAACGACTGAGCCACCCAGGCACCCCATCTGGGAAGGCTTTTTAATGATAAATTCCTTTAACGGAAAGAGTCGTGCTCAGATTTCCTATTTCTCCTTGTGTCGGTTTCAGGAATTTATGTCTTTCAAGGCATGTGTCCCTTTTATCAAAGGTATGGGTATTGAAGTTCTCCATAAAAATCCCTTGTTATCCCTTTAACTCTGCAGGGTTTTGGTAGCTTGTGTTTTCTCCTAGTTAATCCTTGCTAAGAATGTATCAATGTTATTAATTCTTTCAAAGGGTTTTTTTCTCTCTTGTTTTCGGTTTTACTTATTTTTCCTTTCTCGTGAGATAATGTGTATAAAGAGACAGTAAGCACTCAGACAGGCAGGCCCTCCTGGCTGCTTAGCACATGTCTGTCCAGTGGTCAGATGGATGGACAGACGGATGGCCGAGCAGAGAGTGGGGCTCCATAAAGACAAAAGGAGCAGACAGGTGACACCACCAAAGACAGCCCTGACTGTAAACATCTCAGACTGTAAACAGCATCAACTGAGCTCAAGGCCCACCTGGGCTGGGTGACACTGTGAGGTCCCCTTACGTCCCCAACCCTTTGTTTTCTCATCTGAAAAGGAGATGGAAGTTGCTGGGAGAAGTTCCTGAGGCTACTGGCCCTACACAAAGGTGCCTGAACCATCAGAGAGACGTGTTCATTTTATTATTATTATTATTATTATTATTATTATTATTTGGCCAAACTCTGTTGCTTTTGAATGCTCTTTAGAACAAATGAACCATTTGCTGACCAAATAAATCAAGGAGATCTTTATGCTGCAGGGGCAATGTTGCGTTGATTTCTAGAGGCTGTGCTCCTTCCCCCGCCTTGGGGAGATCTGGTGCACGTAAAGCAGGGATTCACCAATTAGGATGACCCATGGGGCAGGATGGAAAGGCCTTTAACTGGCAATGCTGGGGCTTGTGGTAGCTTTCTTCAAAATGAATACAACTGAGGCAGCCCCCATCCCCAGTCACGGGCCTTTCACAGACAAGTCCATCAGACTCTTCCTGGCGGAGTTTATGTGGCTCAGGGGTGTGGGGCATCCTTGGTGGTGGTGGCCTGGGTAGTGAGGCCTTAAGGAAGTCATGGAGGCAGATATGGCATGCATGAGAAGGCTCCCTTTGGCAGGGCCCGAGCCCAGGGAGCTCTGCTGGGCAAGGGAGGGCCAGGCCCCCTCCTGCTGTCATTACTGAAAGTGAGGGATGCATGCTGGGTCCCCAAGAAGTGAAGGAAATGCGCACACACACACTGGATGCCTACTCTGTACCAGACACTGGCATCATGGGCCCCATTTGGTGTCTGGAACCCAGAGGCATCCCCCAGCGAGGAAGCAGCGGGTTCAACCCCCGGCCTTCTGCTACCTTGGGTTCCTTGAGGAATCTCTGGGGGGCTCTGCATGGAAGGGGCATGGTGGGCACCTTTGCTGAAAGAAGCCACCCCCCTGAGGCAGAGCCAGATGCACAGGCCAGGCAGCCCAGGGTGCAGTGGGAGGGCACAGTGACAGGGATAGGAAGGGGACCAGGAGGGATGACTGGAGGGTGGGAGGGGAAACTGAGATAGGACACCCCAGGAAAGCCTGCAGCCCCAGGGCCCCGGCCTCTCCTCCCCACAGCCCCTCTCCATGCCACCACGGGCAGTTGTCCGGTCCCCAGGAGGGCACAGGATGGGCTGGTGGAAGGCGGGCTTCTCTTCCCAGATACACATCCCTGTTTGTAATTTTAAAACAACGTCGACTCAAAACACCGATCCTGAATCGAGTTTTGAGGAAATCCAGATTATGGGAGAAAACTGATGTGAAGACCTGCATCAGGAAAGACAATATGGAGAGATGGTGGTGGATGGAAAGACTCTAGTAAACACACAAACACGTGTGATGCATGATCATCGACTGGATCCCAGATGCAAAGATAAGGCCCCAAAGGACATTCCTGGTGAGAGCTGACTACGGACTGTATATGAGAAAGGTTTCTGTGTTAACATCGTTTCTTGAGCGTGATACCTGAATTAAGGTTCTGGAGAACGTCCTTCTTCTAAGGAGATGCTGCTATACCTGCTCTCACACGGTTCAGCAGAAGTTGTGAGCGCCGAGATAATGAGGAATGGATCTAGGTGGGGGGTGCACCATTCTGCATGAAGCTTTCCGAGTAAAAAGCTTGGGGACATCTCCAGGTCCCTGTAGATAATGGCAGCCACCTAAATGCAGATCGACCAGGAGAACAAATAAAATGGGCCACACTCAGGCCTAGAGCTTAAAAGAGACAGAAAGTGTGTAGGACCAGTGCTGGCTGTCTCAGAAACGCCCAGCTTCTGAGGATGTGGCTCAGAGGTGTAGGCCCTTAGAGGGTTGGTGGTAAATGGACAGGAGGGAGTGGCACGGGGAATTCAAGGGCCTACAGAGGCAAAAGCGAATGGGAAATTCACAGACAGCTCACCATCCTGCATCCCGTAACACTCTAAATAAGGGTATGCAGTTCCTGAAACCAACACAAGAGGGCACTCCTGAACTAAGAAACCTGACGTTACCCAAAACCCAGTGCCAGCCTACGTTTGTCTATTATTAGCAGTCCCTGCAAACATAAAGACAATTGTAAGTTAACAGAAGGTAACAGACAATATCCATACAAAAGCAATACAAGGAGCTGACAATCATTCTCCCCACAAACCACTTTACAGGGGAACAATGTGGCACAGCATCCTGACTTGAGCAGCCTTAAGAAAGCATTCTGAGACGTGACAAAACACCTTAAGCATAAATTTGAAAACTCAAAACACAGATGAACACACACACAGAAAAAAAGGTAAACATGAAACCAGAATTGCCCAAACTCAGGAGAGAAATTAAAAAACACAACATCATCTCAGAAATGAAGACTAAACCAGACGCTCTCTTAGGGAGAATAGATTTGACCGAAATTTTAATAAAGCTCATTGAGGAGAGGAATGAAACAACCACAAAACCAAAATGAAATAAAGACAGGAGTGAAGAGGATTATGTAGAAAGTGATAGATACAGAAGATGGGCAAAAGGGATCTAGTGTACAGACATAGCATTGGAAGAAAAACAACATAATTAACATTATAATCATTTTCCAAGAAAACTTTCTGGAAATAAAAAGACTTGAATCTGCATATTCAACTGCTCCCCTGAATGCACCACAAAATCGGTACTGAATGGGCAACTCCAAGATATTTCTTAGTGAAATGATTAGACTTTAAAGGTAAAGAAAAAAAAATCCTTTGGAGCTCCAGGGAAAATGATCAAGTCTCTCATAAAAGGAAGGAGAGTGTGTTTATATTAGACTTCTTAACAACGTGTAAGCAATACAACCCAGAGCAACATTATAACGAATTCAAGGAAAGCAAGTATGAGCTGGGATTTTATAACCAGCCAAACTATCCTTCAGCTACCAAGGGTACAGAAAACCATTTTAACATGAAAGAAACCAGGGAATGGTGTACTGACGAGTCCTTCTGGAAGAAGCCATCAAAAGCAACGCTATATCAGACCAAGGAATGACTGGGGAGACCATAGTGAAAATAAATAGTAGCAAGTCGAATCCAACACCATTGTGCTGGACAGACTCTCAAGGACCCACTAACCCTATCTCCTGGCATTTATGCCCTTGAGTTTGGATGGAACCTTTCCTCTAACCAACAGAATATGGCAAAGACAATGGAATGTCAATTCTGTGATTCTGTTATATAAGACTGTGTCTTGCTAGATTTACTCTAGCGATTCTTTGCTGGCCTGATGGAGCAAGAGGCTGTGTCGAGGAAGCCCACAGGGCAAGAAACGACAGGTGGTCCCTAGTAACTGCAGGAGGCTTCCAGAAGCTGAGGACAGATTCCAGCCAACCACCAGCAAAACATTTAAGCTCTCAGTCAGGCACGTGGAAATAAGTGAATGCTGCCGGCAACCACATGAAGAGAAAAGCAGATCCATTCCTAGTTGAGCCTCTAGATGAGGACCCAGTCCTAGCCAACACCAGCAAGAACCCAGCAAAGCTGTGCGTGGACTTCGGGTCCACAGAAACTAAGAGATAATGGACGTGTGCTATTTTAAGCTACTGAGTTTATGGTAACTTATTACACAGCAAATGGATGGCTCACATAACCATATTAAAACATCATATATCATGCCCAAGTGTCTTCCATTTCAGGAAGGCAAAGATGGCTTAATGTTCATATTTAATAAATGTTGTGTCTTATTGTTTGCCTTATCCTCTCATCCTGGACCCAAAATTAGGAAATCCATTAATATGATTCATCTTATTGTACTCGCGTCGGCAGCACATATACTGAAGTTGGAACGATAAAGAGATCAGCATGGCTCCTGCACAAGGATGACACGCAAATTTGTGAAGCATTCCTTATTTTATTTTATTTTTGAAGCATTCCATATTTTAAAAATACATATGATTCAGCTCATTCATAGTGCTAGGAAAAATACCATATAACTATCTCCATATATGTCTTCAATGAAAATCAATATTCATTCCTGATTTTAAGAAGCCACCCAATAAAATAGGAATTAAGGTATACTCCCAAATATATACACATATACATCTATCTCCCTATCCTAAAGTCAACATCTCTCCTAACGGGGGAAGACTAGAGGCCTTTTTACTAAGCTCAGGAACAAGGGAAGGAGGCTCCTTTATATTCAATATTCAATATTGAATTGGAGGTATTTAGCCAATTTAATTAGAGAAAGCAAGTAGATGCATAAAAATCAGTAAAGAAGAAGTAAAACTATTTCAATATTCAGATGACAGCATACCTAAACTCTCTAGAAGAACTGATGAAACTAACAACAAATGAGGTAGATAGACACGAAACTAACAACAAATGGGGTAGATGGACACAAAACAACACACACACAATGACTCATTCAAGATATGACAGAAGAAAAAAATTTATAATAGCAACAAACAAAGCCAAGTACCCATGAATAAACTTAACCAAAA